CTAGTTTTTTTTTGTTTTAGTTTTATATTTTAGTTTTAGATCTAAGAATTCGAATATCACATTACCCTTATAACAAGTAGCACGAGAGATGAAAAGAAAAAAAGAAGAAAAACAAAAATAATAAGATGGAGAAGAAGAAGAAGAAGAAAAATTAAGAGGACGAAGAAGAAAAAACAAGATGAAGAAAAATAATAAGAGGAGAGGAAGACGAAGAAGAAGAAAAAAAAAAAAGAAAAAGAAGAAAGGAAGAAGAAAAAAAACAGGAAAAATAAGAATGAAGACTAAAAAAAAAAAAAACAAAAAAAACCTGACAACGTGACCCCAAACCACCTGATCCTGGCTCGCCGTGCTGAAGCTGTTCCCCAGCAGCGCCCGCGAGTAGAGGGTCGAGGGGACGACGTGGCGGAGGAGGACCTTCTGCAGGGCTGGCACGTCCTGCAGGAGGCTGTCGACGGTGCCAGGAGGGAGCTTGGCGAAGGCGTCGTTGGTGGGGGCGAAGACGGTGAAGGGGCCGTCTGGGGGGGTCATGTAGAAGGGGGTTATTGTGGGTGCTGAATGCCGGTTATGGGGAGTTTTAAAAAGGTATTTCTACTTGTTTTTGAGCTGTTTTTTTGTGTTACGGTCTTTGACTCTTTTTTTTGGATCTATTTCGATCTTTGAGTATTTTTTTATATCTATTTCGATCGATTTTGTGTCCTATTTCGTCTTGAATGTTTTTTTTTTTTTAATATCGATTATTTGAGTATTTTTTGATTTTCTAGAATGTTTTTTTTTTTTTTTTTTTTTTATCTATATCGATATTTGAGTCTTTTTTGTATTATTTCGAGCAGATTATGAATTTCGAATGTTCATCACATCGCTCATGAAGATTCCCAAGAATATGAACACATCAAAAGAACAAGTAAATAACAGCCTCATCTGATAATAATATCATACGAAGATCATAAGGATACCCCTGTCTATCCATCTATACAGAGTAAATAACCTCTTAAAATTAACCAAATAAGGATAACTAATAAATGAATAACGACGAATAACGACCTAAATTATCCATCTATACACAGGGTAAATGAATAGCGCCTATCAGTCTACTTCACAGGTAAATAACATAAGATCGACCAAATTCAGAAGGATATACGTCTCTAAGAAAAATAATAATAATATTATATATATATATATATATATATATATATATATATATATTATATAAATAACTAAATGATCACGATCCTGCTGAACCTCATACGGAAAAAAAAAAAGGCATAGCGATGCTACCGACCCATCTATACAAAAAAAACAAAAAAAAAACAACCCCCCAAGAAAAAGAAAAAGAAAGAAAGAAGAAAAAAAAAAAAAAAAAAAAAATTATATATATTATATATATATATATATATATATATATATTATATATATATATATATATATATATATATATATATATATATATATATATTATATATATATATATTATAATATATATAAGATCAGCCAAATTCCCGCCAGGACCCACCGGGAGGCGAGGGTGTCGGCCAGGCCAGCGGCGGTCACGGCGGCCACCAGGGTCGTGAACCTTTCGTCGCCAAGCAGGGTGTCGACGACCGTGCCCTTGGGAGGCAGAGGACCTTGTCGACGACGTGGACGACGCCGTTGCTCGCGGGGATGTCGGCCTCGATCACGTCCACGCCGTTGACCACCACGCCCTGCAGGAGGAGAGGGAGGAGGGGGAGGGGTCAGGGGCGTTGGGGGAAGTTGGGATGAAAAGGGGAGTGACTTTTTTTTTTTTATTATTATTATTATTATTATTATTTATTATTATTATTATTATTGTTATTATTTTTATTATTATTATTATTATCATTATTATTATTATTATTTATTTATCTTTTTTTGGATTTTTTTTTCTATTCTATTATATTATTAAACTTGAGGAGTTTTGAAAGATGTTTATTTTTTTTTGATTTACCAGAACATATTGAATATAAACTCTAGAAAAGAAATAGATATGATAAATGGAAAAGCAGAGTATATACCAATAACAAAAACAAAGAAGAAAAAATATCCCCCCCAAAAAAAAAAAAAAAAAAACAAAAAAACAACATAAACAACAAAAACAACAAACAACAACCCCACAACCCCCCCCTCTAACCCCAAACTCACCGCAGGATTCGCGAAGAGATTGACCCTCACACTCCTCCCCTGC